TTCAAAATGCACAGAAGTTTTCAAGAAGAAATTAGTTTTAATTATAATTTTATAAAATATTTTAGAGCACTCAATTTATCTTATTATATATGAAATTTCAGTGTGTCACACTGACTGTCGACAAGATACACACGCGACGGTGTTGACTATAGTGCACATCATGTATATCGTATAGTGTACACTATACTCGACGCTGATGGGTATCATGTGCAGTATAGCTTGATAGACAATATAACACATGTGCTCAAAGGCACACTGAGATATCATATATGATAAAATAAATTGAGTGCTTAAAATATTTTATAAAATTATAAATCGAACAAATTTCTTTTCAAAAAAATTCTGTGCATTTTGACACTTAACCTAACACTTAAGTTTTGTCATGTCGCTCCCATGGTTACGAACTACAATTTGATATGTTTTTCTCTTCACTCTTCGCCGTCCGTGCGTATTTATTTAAAAAAAAGATATATGTTCCTTTGACGTACGGCCACAAATTAAATATTACCTGAAAGATCATATTAACGACGAATCAATTTTTAGAATCTCTGATGATAGGGAAATTAAAATAAACCTCGGTGATGCCCAATTTTAACAAAATACGAAATGAACTACGTTTCAATATATTTCTTATATGAAGAAACTTTTGATCGCACGTACGTTCTCCAAAGAAAAATATATATATGCTAATTTCTATAGTTGCACAAAAAAAAGAATTGACCGTCCGTACGGGCACTAATGTCGCCCGTGTTTGTACGGACATTTTGACCGTCCGTACTTAATACACGTTTATTAAGGAACAATTTGTGTGTTAAAATCATCATTTCAGGAAGTCAAATCATGCTATACTTTGCGCCTTATTTTAGCTTTTATTTCATCCACTACTATGCCCACTAAAGGGTGATATCCGTGTGTAATTTGGACTCTTGAGTAGAGTTCAGTTCAGGTAAAATCTGGGGTAAATTTCGGGTGTCATTAAAAATCAATTTATGTCTGACCAGTAAACATAGTATTCATCGGATCAAAAAATAATGTATTAAATGATGAGAAATTTTTTTCGGACCCCTCTGTCCTCCTTCACCAAAAAATTTTAATTTTGAAATTTTGAAGAAATTTCAAAGAAAATCATAACAAATATCATAATAAATCTCGTCATTATTTCAAAATCGACATTTTTTGGTGATTTTTCAGATTTTTGTTTGAAAAGTCCATCAAAAATTATTTTTATCGCAAAACTAACATCAAATTCGGTTTTCTCGTGCCAAAAAAACCCACCACTACATATTTTTTACAGCGCGGAAAAGACATTTTTCTGGATAATTACTACAATACGAAAAATGTCTGATGGTGAAAATATGTAAACAAATTAGAAAAGTGAACACAATCATGCATAATCGATTGCATTGACAAAAAAAAAATCAAATTCAAAAGACACATGAAACTCCACGAACCCATGCAGGAAGTATGTGTATGCGACTTATGTGGACAATTATACCAAAATACAATTTCAATGTGCACAAATACCGGCGTCATGAAGGAGTAGCATCTAGGTTAATCACATATACAAAAGAGCACAAGCCATCAAAAAAACGTCCAGTATATTCAAGTGATACCCATGCAAATGCCAAACATTTCATTTCATTGCATTGCAAGAAACCAGTAGAAATAATGTTGAATATGATGCATTTGACATGGTTGATGATACACTCGAAGGTGACGTCGTAGATGATGACATGTTGCTGCACCATCACCGCACCCACAATCCTGCAGAAAGAAATCGATCGATACGTATCGTAAAACCCATAAAATTGAAGGAAAAAGTATCAAAACAAACGATTTTTGTTTAACGTTCTATAGTATATTTTATACATTGTGTTAAAGTAAGAATTGAACGATTAAAAAAGAACCGAAGAATGAAATGTAATTCAAATTAAATTAATTAGAAACAAGAAATATCTATATTTAATGTATATTTATGATTTAAAAATTAATATCAAATTGAAAGAGAAAATCATAAATTCACTATACCGTAGTATACAATCTAAACCAATTGCATTTGTGTTTGAAACACAATTATTATTTAAAAGCAACGACATAAAAATATGTATCTAAAACATTAGTCACCAATTTTACTTCTATTTGTTTCATTTTGAATTCAGTATTATTATTTTTTGATGGTATGATGGTATGTGATAAATATATTTTTTTAAGCAAAAAAAAATAAAAAATAATCGTTTTTAATTGACGGAAATTAACTCCACGTTCAGTAATAAGGGAGAATTCGGTGGAATTTTTGGGGGTAGACCACGTTCACGGAATGCTACATGTGGGCCGCATTCAATGTAGCGCTTACCACTGGCTCGCATGCCCACCAATCCAATGTTCAATCCTTGGATGTATGAATTATTTCCAAGAATAAATGATGTTTCCGACGTAGCAACCGGTACTTTGTACGGTGGCACGGACAACTTGTACTTTATATGAACCAATTTACCGTTCAATGCCTCTTCTCCATCACCAATTTGATAATCTTGGGTTTTGACACCTCCATCGCGTTCAATCACAGGCACATGTGCTGCATGAATTTTTGTCTGTTTGACTGTTTTTTCCTTTGGTTTCGACACTACCTTTTGGCCTGTATTTTCGTTTGTTCGAGTTGGCGTAATTTTCGGTGGCTGCGGTAACTTGATTGGTTTGAAAACAGTAGCATTGTTTTGGGTTTTCAATGAAATTGCGCTGGTCTTTTGTATTTTGGGTAATTGTGATGTTACCGTTTCTGTACGTCTTTTATTTGCACGATTTGTAAATGGTCCTGCAGGATTATTGACATAGCTGTGATGTGCAATGATTGTATGTTGATTGATATCGGTCAAATCGTTGGTTGTATTTCTTACTTGTAAGTAGTCAGCTGGAACATGTGCGTATTGATCAACGTCACTGTTGAGATTGAGCTGGGAATGATTTGTGTTTTGTGATGCCATACAATTTTGGCTGAATACTGTGGGTGGATTTGGGGCGAATGGTGAACTAGCTGTACTAAAATCATTTCCTTCTTCGTTGTAAAACGACGTAGCATCATCAAAATCGTTGAAATTAGTATCGTCATCAAGATTTCCAACAAAACCATCTTCCAATTCAAACGTTTGATTTATGGTACTTCGAGTTGTAGATTTGGTGATTACAGGAGCTGCTTTGGTGAGTGAATGGTTTGATTCTTCAATTTTATCGTGTTCAACTTCGTTTGTTCCAGATGAATTGACATCAACATCGTGAGGTGGAATGTAAAAACCAGTCAAGAAAACGTTTTCATTTGCACCTTGTGTGTAAAATGTCACCTTGTCTCCAATTGTTAAAAGCAAATCGAGTCTAGCATTCGGTACAGAGCGGCTTAGACAAGCAATCAGTTGTGCCTTGTTTCCTTTTTTGACCCAAACCTTTCGGAATGTATCATCTGCGTCATTTGCCAGTTCCAATGTGGCTTGTGAAATACGATAATCTTTTTTCACAATTTGGCTGCACTGCCTGTCCGGTTTCACACAAATGCCTAAAATGTGCATTAAATATTATATATATCAAAAATAGAAGCAAATTTTATAGAAATATCTTACCCCAAAGCATTTTCAGCTGTTTTTGAATATACAAAGATATTTTTACGTTATTTTTTTAATAAAATATTGTTTAAATCAAATTAGATGATCGCAGAGAAATTATAATAAATGCATATATGCCAAAAGTCAAAATGTCATAAATGTGTTACTATAAAAAGTATTGCCATCGTTACAAATTCAATTTGCCTTTGACATTTGGTATTTCATCTTATTTCTCTGTTGCGATCAAACATAAATACACATTGAAACAATATTTTATTGAAAAAATAACGCAAAAATATCTACGTATATTTCAAAAACAGCAGAAAATGCTTTTGGGTAAGATATTTCTATAAATTTGGCTTCTATTTTTAATATATATAATACATAATACAAATTTCAGGTATTTGCTTGCAACCGGACAAGCTTTACCACCAAACTGTGAAAAGAAATTTTCGTATTTCACAAGCCACATTGGAACTGGCAAATGACGCAAATGATACGTTCCGAAAGGTTTGGGTCAAAAAAGGAACCAAGGTTCACCTGATTGCTTGTCTAAGCCGCTTTGTACCTAATGCTGAACTCGATTTGGATTTCACAGTTGGAGAAAAGGTAACATTTTATACACAAGGAGCTAATGAGGACGTGTACTTGGAGGGTTTTTATACCTCACAAACGTCAAATACCAATCTTGTGAAGGAAGCCACACAACCAAAAACAACAGAAAAAAATCCTGTAGTTTTACAATGTAACATTTGTAATCTTACAATTACAAACAATCGCAGTAATTTCAAAAGACACATGAAACTTCATGAACCCATGCAGGAAGTGTATGTATGCAACTTATGTGGACAAGTATACCAAAACAAATACAATTTTAATGTGCACCATGCTCGCGACATTGGCAAACAAATATAAAATGGGGGATCAGCGCCATGTACTTCTAGTGTAAATAATAATTACCATGAAATTCATACACTAGATGGCGTTGTTGTAGTTTATATACAATATCAAAAAAGAAAAGAAAAATAATAAATAAAATATTCCGGAATTAATTTTTTTTATTTCTTTATTGAATAATTCATAAATATCATATATGATATATTTTTTCTTAAGCAAACAATTCCGGGAACAATACACACTTTCTTTTTTTTCTTTCTCTCTCTCTCTCCCTTCGTGTCATGCGCTCATTCGTCTCGATGACACATCATTTAGTGAATTTATCACAAAACATTGTCATTCATTACTTAACCTAAAAAGGAGCATAAAGGAGCTATTTACCGGAACAATTAGTCAATTCAAACAAAATTCAGGTCCCAGATCCCAGGTGCATTTTCATTTGAAATTAAAAATATATATAAATCTACTAATACCAACTAATACCGTATGACTTCCGTTGATTAGCTCATTAGAGATAAAGCAGTGCATCGATCAAAGAATGAAGTTGACATCCAAACCATTTGCGGCCAGAGAAATTAATTTAGCCGGCGTAATTTATCGTGATTAAAAGGCCGACACATTTCACATCGATCTTGGAGAACAATTTTTTGGAACACTACAGTTACTGGGTAAGTGCCACCTGTTCCGTTCACTCTTTTATTTTCTATTTTCTCGATTTTGGTGTCTCATATCAAATTGAAGTGAGAGAGAGAGAAACATACATGAATCCAATCAATATATATTGGAAAACCGGATAAACTGTAGCAATACAAATGTATTGTAAGCCTTTATGTCAAATCAAAATACGCGACTTCATATAAACTTGACACACCAAACATATTACAATTGTATTAGTCCAGTTTATCCGAAATACATTCAAAATGAGTATAAACTGGTATATAGTGTCATTTATGTCAGATATTTGCAAATTGAGGTTATGTTTATTTTGTGTGTAGGCATATCTTGTGGAATTACGACACGACGTGTACGGTGCCAAAGAAATTTCGTTGAATTCCAATCACATCTATTGAATAGATCGAGACTCTCGATTTCGAATGAGCGTGCGAGAAAGAGAAAGAACTTGAACAAAAAAAAAAACACGACATTTAGTGAATATCAACAATTTTGCGAACGTACAAAGAACTTGCAAGCGGCCGGTGTATATTTATTTTATTCAAACATATAGTGACTGAAAAGAGAATAAATATTATACGAAGCGCGAACATAATGGCTTGCTGAAAAGTCAACAAGCAGCAAAAATTGACGAAAATGTCAATCGAATGTTTAACTTTGTAATGTTTATATTGTAAACCAATTGATTTTCGAATTAATCATTTAATGTAACATTTTTTTTCATCTTCTCTCTATAGGCGGACAGCGAAATTGATTTACGTTTGATGATTCATCAAAGTTTGGCCGGTTGTGTTATTGGAAAGGGTGGCGGTAAAAATCAAGGAAATTCGAGATGTTTGATGATTCATCAAAGTTTGCAGCAAAAATTGACGAAAACAATCGAACAATTTTATCGAATGTTTAACTTTGTAATGTTTATTTTGTAAACCAATTGATTCGAATTAATCATTTAATGTCATATTTTTTTTTCATCTTCTCTCTATAGGCGGACAGCGAAATTGATTTACG